ACTTACCACTACGGCTTCAGCATTTAAACCCTTCGACATAGTGCGCTTCAAAATTGGTAACAATTCATCCTCAACATCTGTATCAGCCTCCGCTGCTTCCACTCGCCTCTTAATCAACAAACACAGTTCCTTGTCATTTTAAACAACTGTTGAAATTGTGTTTTTTACTTACAAAAATTTGTTTTTATGACTTAAATTATAGCTTCAAAAAAAGCTCTAATTTCATTCAAACTTCTTACCATTGCAGCAGAACCACCTCGAGAATGCTTCCGTCGCGGCATATTGGGTATATGATCATCCTCTCGATATTCCACCGACATTACTTTAGACGACTTATTAGCCTTTGGGAAATTTAAAGTATCGTCACTGCTCAGTGAACTTGAGATGCCAGAATCTAACCGTTTACTGTAGTTCATATTTTCGACACATACAGTAAAAATATTTGTTACAGAGTCCAAATTTTGATAACTAAACAACGACTATTGAAATAATATTTACTGAGTGTTATATAACAAACAAAAACAAATTCAAATTTTACTGTAACTAATGTAAACCTTCTCGGCTGTTTATCCTCATGAAAACCTGTCGGCTGACTTTTATGCGGTAAGTTTTTCATCAAGTTTGAGACAAAGCTTTCACTTCGTAATTTCCTCCTGCAATAAGAACAGTGACTAACCGAGAATGCTAGAAGAAGTAACCATTTCCTTTTTTATGATTATTACAGCCCAAATTAGTACGACTTTCAGAGTATTAGAAGTATAAAGAGGAAAAACATATTTCAGTTTCTGTCATTTGCCTCAGTACCTTTGAAATGAAGGACCATGAGAACCGCTTAACGAAGAACGTGAATTTGGTTCTGATGTTGCTTGCATTGGTCGCCACAAACCAGGTAAGGATGAAACATCAGGTTCAAATTTTTTGAACTTAAAGTAACTTTTCATTGTTCGCTACATAACACTCTTAGGTAAATAGAATTTCAAAAACAAAAACGTTATTTACTGTAAGCCTAAATTTACCAGTAACGGAGTCTGGGTTACTGAATCTCGAGTCTTACACCTAGACGAAGAATCTTGCCCAGGATCCGCACTTCTAATCAACCGTCTGAGATCATGACCATTATGGTGATCTACACAACATTCCAAACAGATACAACAAGTCTAAAAAATTATGCAGTAAAAGTTTTTCAGTTGGCAAAATCAACAACAGGTTCAACGCAGCTGAAAAAAATTTCGAATGTACCCTGCAGACAACTTTTAAGCTTAAATTTCCAACAACAGAAGCAACAACAAAACAACCTGTTCAGTATGATTTAAAAGTTTGTGAATCTGTATTTCGCATGTAACACATCTCCGAAGACCACTTATTAAATGACGTGCACTACACTCTTCGCACCGTAAACTTTGTTGATCATTGCGTTGCCGATACAAATGAATACTGGTAATCAGCACTAAAGTGATAAAATATTTCAATGACTAAGTTTGCTTAACAAAGATTAATAACCGCCATTTCCTTTGGCACTGTTTCTTACAATCTAAAATGACCTATACTTTAATATCTGTTCAATATTTGGGGAGATACCGTGAAAAGTATTCAGTAAAAGCAAAAAAATAAAAAAAAAAATGGATAACAGCATACCCAAATAAGCGGTATTTGAGCGAAATAATGAATATTTCTCATTGCATATCCAACATTTACCTCTTTTTCGCTGTTCTTTCTAAAATTACAAAAAAAATATCAACAACGACAACAGCAACAAAAAAAAAAAAA